AGACATAAAACTTGTAATTCCTCACCCTGATTTATACTTATGCAAATGGTGATGATTTCTTAAACAAACAAACAAACACATACTTACATACTAAGCACCAGCTCCCAGGTCAAATGTCTCTTTAAGGTTCAACTTGCAAATACAATAAGCTCTGTCAATATAAATATAAGAAACTGAGGAGACTCAGGACTATCAAAGAGATGTACTCTTGAAATGCATGATCACAAAATTACTGTTACTGCAAGGTACAAAAAAGACAGTAAGGAAATGGCAAGAAAAAAACTAATTAGTTACTATCATAACTGTAACTGTGTTAACAATGATTAGATCTGATAATGTTGAGTGAATCTGACCAAAGATGTAGCAGTCAGTTTAGCCAAATGACCTGAGGGAAGCTTTGATAATGATAATAAGCACTGTCAAACAAGAATAATTCAATCACTGATAGATTGCCACAGGTGATCATTACACACTAAAAGATTGAAAGAGATGATAATTCTGATCAGAATTAAATGTGATCAGAAACTCTTTGGATTTCTATAAGAACTAGAAAAGAAAGAAAAGGAATATTTATATCTCATTCTTCACATTGGATATACAGTATATCTATTCATATATTCATATACAACTTCCATTACTAGTCTTATAACAGAGGCACCAGGAACAACATAGAGGCACTATGTGGTAATATACGACAGTTGACCCCACCAGCTACAGTCAGACATTTCAGATCAAATAAAAAAAATAAAAAGAGGAAAAATTCTGAAACTAATTGCTGTAGTACTCCCACCTCACTTCTGAACATTTACTCTATACAAAGCTCATAGTTGGCATCATGTCATGTTAGATATGGCCTGTCTTGGGTCAACAACTTTTCATACACTTTTCTTAAATCTTTGATTTCATTTAATCTTTCCAGGAATCTGGACATCTCAGTAACAGTATATGTTTTAAAGGTCTGCAGGTAATATGAAGGTATTGTTAATAACAACTACATGATTATTCAAGCGAGAAAGCTCTCACACACACATACATAAGGAGTTACTAGGGCTTCACAAAAATAGTGGTGTATCATAAAAGACTCCTACAAAAGTCTGATTCATTCTGGCTCTCAGGGAAAAGTTTGTTGTTTATGCTACTCAGAGAGCTCAAGAATGAGTTTAGGTTGGAGACCAAAAGAAGCTTACAATGACAACAAGCACTTGGTGAAGAATGCCATAGTAGAGGTACGTACGTATGTGTTCACGGCCCTTAAAGGCATGTTCAACCTCCATATTCTCTGAGGTATCTCATGTACAGGTAAATACCCATTCTCGCAAAACAGCCAAGGGTATTTTGTAGTCATGAAGCTTTCTCATGTACTTCTGATCAGAGGAAAAGTTAGAAGAAATGGTAATTTCTCATTATTAGTCTCATCTGGGAAAGTATGAAAACTGAACTGATAGCTAGTGTGGCATACTTGCTCCTAAGTGTTATCTCGTCAGGAATCAAGGGAATAGCATTTCTTCTTTTTCTCTTTCTTAGTATATCTAGGAGAGGGCTAAAAGGGAGGAAAAGAATTAGTGAATTAAAAGAAAATACTTAACAGTCATATCTGGACGGCAAAAATTGACCTTGGTATAGTGAAAAAACGTGTTTCATGTATCAAATAAGGAAGTAAAATTCAGGAAACTTGCAGTATATAAGCAAGCCAAAGAGTCTGTGCCAAATGCATACTGACTATTTTAGGCAAGTATTGAGCAGACTATACTCAAAAATAGAGGGGAATAACATGCCCAGGGTACAAAAAGTTTGGTGTTGCAAGAGCTTGCACTTTTTTCTTCCTTTCCTTTAGGGAATGAGGTATTTCATGGTGTTTGTCTATTTCTATTGCAAGAGACTTGCTACCTTTAACATGTAAATATTCTACATGAGTATACCATATCCATTAATTTTATAAATTTACAATCTGAACATCCATTACATTTGTAACTTTTTATATATAGTGCAAAGAATGAAGAGAATTTCTAGTGAAGTTCCTACTAAGGGGAGAGGAGATGACAGAGACAGAGACAGAAGCAGAAACAGAAGTGAGGAAAGACGTGAAAGGGAGAGGGAGGTGGAGGACAGGAGAGAAGACTTTACATCAGCTTTATAAGACTGTATATATAAGGGATAAATTAAATTCATTCCCATTAAGACATCTGCATAAAAATACTTTTTTTTTTCTTTTTCATACATATATTCACATCTTTATTCATACTTTGTGTAGCATCTTAGAAAATCAACAGCACACACTGTACATAATCATGAGCTCAAAAAATATATATACGAAACCATCAGTAAGTGTAAACGCAGTCTCTTGACTACACCATAAATATCTGGACAAAGAATGGCAGACAAAAGGAGTAAAATATCCATATTAGCAAATAACTAATTCAGAAGAAAAGATCAACCTCCAAACTAATCATCTAACAGGAAAGAAATTGCCTATGTAATATTTTGCATAAAAAAGGGTCATCTGTATGCACTGAACAGGTGCATTCTACTTAAAAGTTATACTGAATTCCACTGAAACAAGCTTTGAAAATCTGCATATTATATTCATATTATTCAATCAAATTAATACACAGCACAAATAAACTTTCCACATCAATGACTAACACTTATACCTGCAGTTATATAGAGCATAATCTAAAAGCTTACTTAGTATGCTAAAATCAGATCACTTATTGGAATATTATCATTATTTCAATCTGGCAACAAAATCTCTAATTATTGTTAGCAGCCAAATCTTTTCTCTATGAAACACACTTAACAGCTGGTTTCTAACAATTGGAGCCTAAAAAGAAAAGAAAGAAAAAAAACTTTCCTCATTAAAATTGAAAAAAAATCATAAAGGCAAAAAATATAACATTAAGAAGTTTTACTCATAAAATATACTGCCAAAGCAGATCTTTTATCATATCATCTTTTATGACAAATATACCTGATCATTAACTGTATAAATTGAAAAGTGCACAAAAAGATAATTCATTATGAAATATTCAAGCTGAATTGATATTCAGTATATAATAATAATATGAAAAATAACATTAGTTATCAAAATGACATCAAATATTAATAATATTAATAATAATAATAATAATAATAATAATAATAATAATAATGGCTAATAAGAATCAGATATGTGTATAACTTTCATTAGTGATCAATCAGGCATAGAGGTTATTACTGTATATTAATCAATATCTGATTAAGCAAATATAGATTTTTAAAATTACATTTACCTAACCTAAAAAGGATAAAAAACAATAGTGAATATCAGGCTACAAAAAAAAAAAAAAATAGAGTAAAACAATGCATACAAGAAATTTTCATACAAGAAATCTGGAAGTAACATCGAACTTCAAAAGAGGACGAAAATAGGGATAAGAACTTAAAAGAAGGCTTACGCTCCAGTCCCGGTAATAAGAGATGAAAAGGCAGATGCATATCCTTAAAGCTTATCTTGTGCAAATGTGACTGTGGCTATTACACATTTTCCATAACACATGCATTCTGGCAGTAGCAAAGAAAGGACATTATACCTAACCAAAAAACAAAACTAAAAGACTCTAACATCTAGCAATACATTCAACAGGTATAACTGCATTCGGAAGAGGCAAATATACACCTTCCCTATGAATTCTTTATGCCTTCAGAATGAATGTGAATACAGGAATTCTGAAGTTTATGACTATTGTTTTATTTGTTTATCTATCAGAGACTGCATTAATCATCATTCCAGAAAAATGACTGATTTTTTTTTTCTCAATAGATTTAGCTGAATTGCTTTTGAAGAAATCATATTTTTAGATTCCTTCTCAATACTAAAGCAATCATTGATAACCATTCACTCAGTCTTTCATTCAAGCATTCATGAACTTCTATGTTCAAAGCTCTTTAAACATCATGAAGTGCATATCAAATAATAAGGCTAATATTCAAGTACCTTCCTAGAATAAAATATTTTGAAATTTATTTACAAAAGATGCTCTGACAGAGGGTATGTACAGCACAGTCTGCCAGCATTTCCCTAGGCAATATCTTAAGAAAAGACAAATAGCACAGTAAAGAAATTCTTGCTGATCCTTTCACAAAGAATCAATGCATATGAAAGAGGAAGAAGAAAATTATGCAATAAATCTTTACTAACGCTGATAAATAATTTTCATACAAAAAAAGATTCAAAATACAAGAAAATTTTTAAAAATAGGATCATAATATTCTGTTTTAAATGAAACATCAGACCTTGTCTGCACAGTCATTTCACCTCAAGTCTTTTTTTCTTGAGAGAGAGGAATCATTATTAAAAAAATAATTTGAGTGTTATTTCTCCACCTTTTCCTCTGCTCTACTTTTCCATTTTTCTGGTTCACTCAGCACTTAAGCATCACCCTTTGCAGCTCTCACTCCTATCCAGGTAATAAGGCGTCTAGACAGTGTGATGCACTGGGAGCAGAGGTCTTCTTCTCAAGTACCTGAGTGCACAAACTATGGACTTAGTGTACATTTCATCATAGAAGTTGTGTTCATATTCAACCTCTGAACTAAATCAGGTGATGAATCCTTTTGTAGATTTCTGAAGCATGGATTACTGTTCATGCCTCAACGGAGAGTTTGAGAAGATGGGAGGAATTTGTGCCTTAGACTTTAAAGACACGGCAATGTAAATAGACAAATGAGTCATATTTTCTATTATGCTGAACCTCCTCAAGCAAAACCACCAAATGCATTCAGATGTTGATCTTCTATTGAGGTATTCCAGTGACTGACTTAATAAAAGGCAGAACACTTTTTTTTTTAATCAATAAGTGCTGTTAAGTTGAACAGCCTTAATAGGAATACAACATGTCAGGCATCAGAAACTTTTTCATCAATTCACATCAGGGGAATACATGCCAACACATTTCTCTCTTTGCATGCTGACTCTTTCAAGAGATATCCTTCAGAGTGAAAATTCCATGAGCACAGCACTATAATACCATCCTTGATTTCTGTTATTCATATGTGATAGATGCACATGAAAAATTGTTGTGTGTATGTGTGTGTGTGTGTGTGTGTGTGTGTGTGTGTGTGTGTGTGTGTGTGTGTGTGTGTGTGTGTGTGTGTGTGTGTGTGTGTGTGTGTGTGTGTGTGTAAATTAATGTAGCTACATAGACTATTGCCAAAATAGTTATTGTCTCTATTAGTGGAAAAGGCAGTATCATAGGCCATGAAATATCTGAAAATTGATGTTATTCACTTTTCAACCTTCCTTCCAATCACATATTTCCAATACATATACCAAATATTTCCTGCGCATCTCCAATACCTTCGTGCTTTAAACAAGAACCAGGCCACAAATAATCATCACTCCACTCTTCACTGAGCGCGACAGAGTTCAAGTCACAGTCTCCCGGCAGAGAGCCCCCACTGCGTCCCGGCCTCTAGAAGTCCAAGTCCCATCCGCTGAGTTCATCCGTGGGAACCTCCACATCTCGAGGGTAAGAGTCAAAGTTGCCCGCATCGGCAGGTCCCTTGATCTGAAAAAGGGGAATTCGGGGTCATATTGTGACTGCAATCGTCTCTAAAGAATCCTGATCCGCGAAGAGTAATTGGAGCTTTATGGTTGGGGGCATTGCCTAAAGGAATCTTTATTTTGAATAAAAGGAAAAAGAAAAAGAAAAAAACAAGCAAAGGTTGAAAAAAAATTGGTAATGAAATCAAATGCAAAACAGAAAATAAATTTGTACTTATAATCTGAACTTTACAGTAAAATGAAATTTGAAATCATTAGCATTCTGTAATATTTATCTTTATTATCATTACTATTATTATTATTATTATCATTATCATTATCATTACCATTATTATTATTACTATTATTATTATCATTATTATTATTATTATTATTATTATTATTATTATTATTATTATCATTATTATTATTATTATCATTATCATTATTATTATTATTATTATTATTATCATTATTACTATTATTATTATTACTATTATCATCATTATTATTACTATTATCATTATTATTATTATTATCATTATTTTCTTTATTATTATCATTATTATGATTAGTATCATCATTATCTCATTATTATTACTATTATTATTATTATCATTGTTATTACTATTATCATGATTATTGTTATTATGATTATTATCATTACCATTATTGTCATTATCCTCATTATTATCACTACAATTATTATCATCATTATCATTACCATTATTACTATTATTATCATTGTTATTATTATTACTGTTATTATTATTACTAAATCTATTATTATCATTATTACTATTACCACCATTTTTTCATAATTATTATTATTATCATTGTTATTATTATTATTATTATTAATATCATCATCATTATCGTTATTATTGTTAGCATTAATACATTTTATCATTAATGATATCCTCTTCATTATCGTTATCATTATCATTATTACTACAATTACTGTGTGTGTGTGTGTGTGTGTGTGTGTATGTGTGTGTGTGTGTGTGTGTGTGTGTGTGTGTGTGTGTGTGTGTGTGTGTGTGTGTGTGTGTGTGTGTGTGTGTGTGTGTGTGTGTGTGTGTGTGTGTGTGTGCGTGCGTGTGCGTGTGCGTGTGCGTGTACGTGTGCGTGTGTAAGGGGGTGCGTGCTCTGCCTTGCCTTGGGGATGATGGGTGGCTGCAGAACCCTCGCTCGCAGGCCATCCCAGTCGAAGCCCTGGAACCACCTGTTGGGAGACACACAATGTCTAAGACAGAGAATGGCCTAAGGCATAACAAATAAGCAGGAATGAGGCAGAGAATCGAGATATACACAAAAGAAGATATACAATAAATACATATGAAAGATGACAAAGAAGAAGAAGAAGAACAATTTATATATATACACTTTCCATTCCCTTCACCTCCTCTCCCGTTCCCTTCCCTCCCATCCCCTCCCCGTCCCTTCCCCTTCCCTCTCCTCCCCTCCCTTCCCCTTCACTCCTTCCCCCTTCCCCTTCCCTCCCCTCCCTTCCCCTTCCCCTTCCCCTCCCTTCCCCCTCCCTCCCCCCCCTGCCCCTGCACTCACTTGTGCTTCTTGATGTCCTGGATGCCCGCCCTCTGGTAGCCGAGCCTCTCCGCCGGCGCCTCCCGGCAGAGCCTCTTGATGAGCGAGATGGCGTTGCGCGAGAGGTGCTGCGGGAAGTCCACCATGTCGATGCCCTTCAGGATGATGTTGTACGTCTTCATGGGGTCCGAGGCCGTGAAGGGGGGGCTGCGGGGGGGGCACGGGTCAGTAGATTGAGGGGAATAGTAATAGACATCATCATCATACATAAACGATGACTCTATGAATATCTATCTATCCATCTATATGAATATGTTATATATATATATATATATATATATATATATATATATATATATATATATATATATATATATATATACACATATAATGAATCACTGTTGCAATGGAAATGAATGAAAAATGACGTTTCG